TCATCGGGAGGAGAAATATTTCTGCTTGCTGTTGGCAGTGAACTACAGAAATGAATGTCTTTTGTTGGAGAAAATGAACTTTTGTCTGTAGTTTTCATTTCTTTTTTTATCTTTTTCACATGAATCTTTTAACATTCCTTGTGTTGGTCAAACAGTCTCTTTTAAGTTGTTATTTGAGATAAGAACTGGATAGATACATTTTATCCTGAATTCTCTGGTCAGTTTGACAGTTTTATTGGACCTGGTGAGGGGATGTGTCTCTGTTTAGTGTTTGTGTGTGTGTTATTTGGTTCTTAGGGAGTGAGTGAGTATGATATGTGTAAGCGTGTGTATTGCTGTGGGTATGTGTTATCATTTGGCTCATTAGGGAGTGAGTGTATGGTGTGTGTGCGTGTGTATAATTGTGTGGGTGAGTGTATAAGTGTGAGGCCTCCATTCCTCCGTAAGCATGTCTGTCTTGTGTGGGTGAGAAATGTGGGTAGGTTTTGATTTGTTGATTGTTACTATTATATATTGTTAAATTTATGATTTAGCCCGGCTGGGTATTGTGTTTTTAGACGTTGTATCCACTTATTTTCATGGGACTCTAAAATCTTTCTAATGTTATCTGCTCTGAACTTTTCTATTCTCTCAATTATAGTGAATCTGGCATGGGTTTTGAAATCGTGTTTTTCTAGGTGGAAATGTTGTTCTACAGGTAATAACTGTTCATAGGGAATTCGATTTAATTAGCTTACGATAATTATTAATTCTGTAGTTAAAGGGCCATTCAGATTTTCCTACATATTGTTTCTGGCATAGTGTGCATTCTAGGAGGTAAATTATGTTTTGACTTCTACAGTTAGAATCGTGGTAGATTTTGAAAGTAGATTTAGTGATTGAGCTAGTGAATGAATTCGTGTTTTTAATATGGTTTGCAACATAAACTTCTTTTGTTGTTACATGGTTGGGAAAATCCTGTTGTTTTTGTTCTCAGTTCCTTACGGATTACCTTGTCCCCTGAAATGTGGTTACTACCTATGATTTCTTTTAGGTTCTTAGGTCTACGATATGCAAGAAGGCGGGTTCCTTAAGCAGTTTTTTTAGGTCTGGTTTGAGATGTAGTATTTCCCAGCGACGTTTGATTATTTGGGATAGTGGAGGCAGAGTGGGATTGAAAGTGGTTACTAGAGGGATGCGGCTAGATTTATTTTTAATCTTGTATATTAGGGTGCCTTCTCTAGGTGTGGAAATTGCTTTATTTATTTGTTCCCTGATTAGGTGTTGTTTATAGCCACGTGTTGTGAATTGATGCTCCAGATTTTCAATGTGTTTATTTAATTCTTCATTGTTGGAACATATCCTTCTGAGTCTAAGTGCTTGTGAATAGGGAAGGTTCTCTTTGAGGTGTTAGGGTGGGAAGACTTAAAGTGTAGATAGTTGTGGGTAAATAACAACTTAAAAGAGACTGTTTGACCAACACAAGGAATGTTAAAAGATTCATGTGAAAAAGATAAAAAAATAAAAAAACAAATGAAAACTACAGACAAAAGTTCATTTTCTCCAACAAAAGACATTCATTTCTGTAGTTCACTGCCAACAGCAAGCAGAAATATTTCTTCTCCCGATGATGGCCATTTCGGTCGAAACTAGTCGAGGAATCTAAATGGAATAATCATAATAAAAAAAACGAAAGAATATTAATCTACAACCCAGTGTGTCTAATGATTTTAATTTTTTATTTTCTTATTGTTCAAAATATAATCATGAATAATGGACACGGGACTGAACCAAATGCCGAGGACATAACACCAACAGAACCAATAAACACAGAATTATTGGCTATCCGCATGAATAGAGCAACCAACAAATTAGCCAGGTATGAATCACACCGGGAATATATTGGGATATGCCTGAAGGATCGATTAGTACCAACCAATTTCAGGATTGATTTGGAACCTTCTATGTGAGGCCACCTAAAAGAATTGGTTTATGCAGTAGACATTAATAATGCAGAGATGGTTCATCAAGATGTCATTTGACACTGTGTGGGAGTATTTGAAAGGGTCTGCCAACCAATGATCTGATGGGTGCATGTGTATTTAGAATGAAGCAGAGACATTTTGAACATTTGTTATGAGTTGATGTGTTGAGGTACAATGATGGCCTTTTGGACATATATTTATATGGACATTGGACCTTGTTTTGGTGTCAGGAGGCCACCCTACAAAGTTTGTAAAACCTATTTTTGGATTGTACATTAAAGTCTACTATAAACTTTAAACATAATAACTCAAAAACAAAGGATTTGCAGACATGTTTATATGAACTTTTGTTCTCGTTTTTGTGAGGAACCTGCCCTCAAGTTTGTAAAAGTAATTCTGATACATCTTGCATGTATGTATATTTAGGCAGGATATCTTCATTCAAGCAGATTTTGTTGAATAATCTGGACATATGTCTATTTTTATTGTGATCCTCTCCAATTCTCTAATCAACTTCTCAATGTTGATTAAGGAAAGTGCTGTAGTTTTTTCATTTTTATTTTCCTCAAGTAATTTCAATCTTATATGAGATCAACTTCAGGTGTGAATTGTTAAGACAAAAAATTAAATGTAACTGATAGTTGGGATTTTTTTTATAAACATGCATGAATGTGTTATAATTATTTTAAAACTGTTGAAGTTATGGTGTTTTCTGTATATAATAAGTTTTATTTTTTGAAATGTGTTTGAATGTGGTATAGTAGGTTGATATGTTTAGGATTATTTGTGGAAGTATTATGTCCTTTATGTTATTATTTCTAATAGTTGATCTAAATTGTTCATCAATAATGTAATTAGGAAAATCATTAATTCAGTGTAGAAAAATGTTTTTGTATAAGTGTTAACATTTGGTTTATTAGATATTGTATAATAGGACATTCAATTTTATAGTTGAGAGTGCACGTTTATGCTAGAATTTTTTTTTTTATATGGAGAGGTAGTAAATGTAGTATTATTGGTGTCTATCAATATATCAAAAGAATTCTGTCATTAACTCTCAAATAATCTTAAACATATCAACCTACTGCAATCAAATGCATTCTAACTAAAAACGAGATAAAAAAATCCTAAAAAGCTCATAAGCACTAATATATTCTATACTGATCCTAGTAAAAAAAGTAAATAAATATAATTATATATTATACTAAATTTAATACAACCATACGCAATAACTCTTTTCTATCAACTACTGTTTTCGAAAAGACCAATATTGTATATTAATTTAAATATCCTTTGGGAGATTTATCTCTGACAAAAAACTAAAGACATAGGTTGGTTTCACAACATTAACAAGATGGCTTACACTCCATATGTTGGATACAAGTCTCATCGCACAATATTTAAAGACATTTCTGTCCACCTTCACAATATTTCTTGATAACACTAGTGTACTACACCATGAAATTAAAAAAAAAAATTATTCAAAGAAAAATTCTTGAATGTGTGTGTGTGTGTGTATATATATATATATATATATATATATATATCTCATAGTTAATTTATCAAGTCTAGAAGAATCCTCAACAGAAAGCACTGGACGGCTGTTTTGTTCTATTTTGGGACAGTGCGCATCCATTACTGAGATTCGAACCTGAACCATTTCTATACGATGCAAGCATCATACTAACTGTACCAATGAGCCTCAGAAACTGAATAGACTTGACACAGTGCCGCTACTCACAAATTCTGGGGGGATACTCATCCAAGTATTCATAACCCAATGAAATGGTTCAAATCTTGGTAGTGGATGCACACTGCTGAGGAATCCCAAAAGAGGATGAAATGGCTGTCCAGTGTTTTCTGCATTCTTTTGAGGATTATTTTAGACTTGATGAATTACTATAATGAATAGCCTAAATCTCCATAATTCTATTACTTGTATATCCTTGCTTGATCCTGCTAATGCTCTGTGATGGAGTGGTTCAAGGGTAAAGGAAAGTTGTGATTCTTGGGGCACAATCTGTTGGGTTATGAATACTTGGATGAGTATCTCCACGGAATCTGTGAGTAGTGGTGCTATATCTATTCAGTCTCTTCTTTGTCACTGAGGCCTGTTGGTATGGCTCTTGTATTGAAATGGTTTGGGCTTGAATCTTGTTACCAAAATAGGACGGAATGGTCGTCCAGTGCTTTCTGCTCTGTTGAGGATTCTTCTAGATTATTTGCCTAAATCCCCCAAATTCTATTACTATATATTTTTTTTCCAAGCATAGCTTAGATGTGGCACAAGGCCAAAAGTATGGGGAACCCAGTGAGTATTGAACTTACAACTCAGTCGTAATTATGGTGAGACAAGCTTGCTAACAATTACACTGCCTCGAGGTACTGATTATATATATATATATATATATATATATATATATATACACACACACACACACACACACACACACACGGTGTTTCAAAAAGAATACGCCAAAATCATTACGCTGTTTTTTCAGGTCTATAGCATTGTAGTGGACTGAATCAGTGGTTATTTGATAGAATAGTTATCAAAGTTTGATTGGGTGTCAGTTTCACCGCTGTCGTTAGTATAACTTCCAGTGCAGCTGAATTGTGGGAAGATCAATCAAAATGGTGACTCCTCAGCAGAAGGCGTTTTGCGTGCTTGAGTTCGCGAAAACAAACGCCATTGTCACGGTGCATCATGCTTTCAGAACAGAATTCGGCATTGATCTGCCCCATTGTGAGAGCATTCGATGGTGGGTTAGACAGTTTAAAGAGAGTGGGTGCCTGTGCAAATGAAAAAGTCCTGGAAGACCACGTGTTACAGAGGAGCAAGTGGAGAGGATTCATGATGCATTTGAGTGCAGTCCACGTAAGCCCGTACGTCGAGCAAGTCTTCAGCTTGACATCCCTCATATTACTGTCTGGCGTGTGTTAAAGAGATGATTACACATGAAACCATACAAACTAAGCCTCGTCCAAGCACTTACTAATGATGACAAGGTGATGCAGAGGATATTCTGTGAGTCAATGCTGGAGATGGAGGAAGGTGATGAAACTCTCTTTTCACGTTTAGTTTTTAGTGACGAAGCGAATTGCCATTTGAGAGGCACAGTCAATCGTCACAATGTGCGCATTTGGGGAACAGAGCACCCACATGAAACTGTTGAGCATGAAAGAGATTCCCCTAAAGTGAACGTCTTCCGTGCTGTGTCTCAAGACAATGTCTATGGTCCCTTTTTCTTTGAAGGAAACACCATTACAGGACAAACCTATCTTGAAATGCTCCAAAACTGGTTATTCACTTTACTGCAAGCAGATTCGAATGACTTCATTTTTCAGCAAGATGGAGTACCACCCCATTGGCATCTTGGGTTTAGAGCTTATCTGAATGAAAACGTGACTCAGCGATGGATTGGGAGGAGAGGTGCTAAAGACCTTGCTCTCTGTGCTTGGCCTGACAGATCCCCGGACCTCACTGTGTGACTTTTTCTTGTGGGGGTATGTTAAAGACCAAGTTTATGTTCCAGCACTTCCAGCAAGTATCGATGACTTGAAAGATCAAATAACAGCTGCAATCAATACGGTTGACCATGACATGCCAAGGCGCGTTTGGGAGGAATTCTCATATCGGCTTGATGTTGTCCGCGCTGCCAGTGGTGGCCACATTGAGCACTTATAAAACACAAAATGAAACTTGAATGTATATACAAGACACCTGTTCATGCTAGAGGTTTGTAATTTTTTTCGTTTTTGACACATCACGCGATGATTTTGGCATATTCTATTTGAAACAGCCTGTGTGTGTGTGTGTGTGTATATATATATATATACACACAATGGCATATAGAAAATAAAAATTGCAATTAATTGACATTAATCTAAGTTGAAAAAGTGCATAAATGTATTACCATATATACTCATGTATCATTAAACTTTTCAAGACTTAATTTTTAAGTTAATTAATTTTAAGTTGGTCACATCATACATGAAATATAAAATTAGCCTATGTACTGCTGGTCCTGTCATGCCATTGACCAAATTGGATATCCATTTACTGTAGTCAAATTCACTTCAAAATTAGGTCTTTAAATGTTGCATGGTATGTGAATACATACAGTAGCGAAATTTACAATGGAAATCAATTTCAGACACTAAAATGAATCTTGTAGTTCAAGGGAGATCACTTTTACTAAACTCTAGAAACATCAATTTATAATTTTAAAATCAAAATGTGCAATTTTAACTTTAGTTCATTTCCCTCCCCACCCAATATCCAAAAAGCACTGAAATATTTGCTCCCAGATCGCAAAAACACTTTGAAAGAAATAAAATAAAAATTTAACTTTTAATAAAAATGGAAATTATTTCTTTCAGTTCTTACTGGCTCTCATTTGGAATCTAAGTCATAAATGCTTTATTGCAGAAAATCATTTTACTTTTTTTTTTTTTTTTTTAAAATGACTAACAATTATGAAAATAAATTCTTAGAAAAGTCTATGCTGATCAAGGAAGTTTTTATGATGGATAAATTCAGAGAAAAGAAAAATTACAGACTTTTTATTTTGAATTAATTTTAAATTATTTTTTTAAAGTCTTTATTCAGTAAGCATTTTGGTTTTTAATTTTTATATTTGTAAAGAAAATAATTTTGTGTCAATCAATAATAATAAAAATTTAACACATGAACTGTGTAAAGTGAGTATTGGTCCTGTAAATATTTAGAGTTCAGTGTGAAGACAATTCCTTACTTCAGTGGAGAGAATTAGGTACCCATCCCTTTGTACAATTGTTAAACTTTGTAAATAGATTTGCTAAAAAATAAGCATAGATGATGAAAAAAATAACCCAAACTTAATAAAAAGAAAGTTTTATTGAGAAAATATTTACATTATTAAGAGGAAGGACCAAACGATTCTTTTATTATTAAATTATATTTTTTTTAATTCTTTAAATGTTTGGTTAAAATTTTTCTTGCAGTAGATGCCCCTAAATTAGTATAGGAAATTTTAATGTCTTTTTGCAGTGAAAAACACATTAATTTGGAAATTCTTGCAAAAATCAAATTCTCGGATTTTAATGAAACTTTTAGGGATCATTCACAAAATGAATTATTTTAGAATTTTTTTTAAGCAAAAATCTAGGTAAAAACATTTTTTTAAAATCTGTTACAATGGGCACCACAAATACAATTTTATGAAATTGGGAAATTCATTTTTGTAAGGCTATTATTATAAGCATCAATTTTTTTCTGTCAAATAAGACTCACAGTTATCAAAAATCTACTCTGAATCATTAAATAAAAACAAAAAAAAAACAATAAAACTAAGACATTATTTAATTAGAAAAGCTTTTATGAATAATATATGGTGGAAACTTTTGTCTTAAGAAAAAATTTAAATAATGAAAATGAATTTTTACAAAAATGGTTTTCATTCTTTTTAAATTTTAATAATTTATAAAATTTGAAATCCTTTCAAATTTTGTATTAATTCATAGAATTTAGAATTCATAGAATTTAGGTGATGTTATTAAGTAAAAAAACTATTTAGTAATCACAAATAGAAGAGCTTACAACTCTGTAAATTTCAGTATTTTAAAAAGAATTTTTCATTTTTTTGTGTATATATAAACTAAACATGCTGATTTTTGTAAATATGGAAGCCCATACACGGCATTATTAGAAAATAAGCAGCAGCTATAGTAAATTTAGAGTCGAAGTACCTAAAATACAATAACTCATAACTTTTCTAAATTTTTAAGATTACTAGGTAGATTAAATATATATATATATATATATATATATATATATATATATATATATATATATATATAAGCTGCTTACATTATATTTGTAAAGTAAATTTTACCGATACGTCCCGTTGGAAAAATTCACAAATCTATCAAGACAGTTGTCAACATGCCATGAAAGCACTGAACCCTGTGTTAAAAAAAGCTTTGTGATATTTTAAACTAAAATAGGTTTCAGATCAGATTAATTAAAATTTAAATCGGCTCGAATAAAGTTTCAGAAAAGTATATTTTATTTTGGAAAATTCTTTTGAATAAAAGATGTTATGCTGAGAGAATTATAAATATTTTTAGTGATAAAAAAAAAAAAAAATGAAATTTGTTTTGAAATACAAAGTATTGGAAATAATATATTTAGCAAATTAATTTGAAGTTAAAACTAAAATAAAAGCTCCAAGATTTTTCACTTTTAAAAATTCATTTTAAACCTTAAAGTAACATTTCTTTGGAGGTACATAGTCTTTTCCTTCTGTTTCACTTCAATCTGCAAAAAGCAAACTGAGAGAATTGAAAAATATGCTTTAGGCAAAAATAGTAATTCAAGTAATTGATTAAGCAAGATGTAGTTTGACACAAGGTCACAATAATAAATCAGGCAGGTAAGTACAATATCAAGAGATTACAATATTAGCAAGCCAACCAATTATTACAGACAGATGAACAGAGAAAGAGAAATCACAGTAGAAAATATTGAATAACAAAAATTTTCATTTAAGTTCTAAACTTCACGGAAAATAATGAAAATGTCAGAGAGCTCATCATCAAAATGTAAAGAAAAATAAGACTTAAATTAATTTTTTTTTATTTATGTAAAACATTGGAAAATTTTCATCAATAAATTTTGGTTGTCTATAAAAAATACAGCAATAATTTTATAAGAACAATTAATGCAGTGGAATTTACAATGTGGAATCTCAAATGATGAAAAAGAAGAAAATAGTTTGAGAAATTTAAGTACCAATTCTTTTTTTACACTCCACTTTATATTGTGAATATAGCTTAAAACTTCTCACAAAACATTTGTGAATTAACAATAATAAAAAAAAAGTAGAAAATAATTTTATTTTATTTTTAAATAGGGCAATCAAATTAATGCTATTTCATTAAACTGATTTTTCTTTTAAAACCAAAACTCATTTGGTAGTCTGAATTTTTATAAAAGGAAAAATAAAAATGTTCTGAAAACAAACCTGACAAGACCTAATAATTGTAGTTTATTAGGAAGATGTGTTTTCTTATAAGTTTTGCAAGCAGAGTTGATTTTACTCAGTGAGGGGAGGGGGGGCAGGGACTAAATTAAAAAGAAAAGTGAATTATTGAATGTGGACACGAGCAAATATGGAATATCAGATGTCACTGTATGCTTGGTTCTGTCAAGACCTCACCATTTTGAGCAATAAATCCCCAAACTGAGAAAATTCATGTCAGGTAAATTTAATAATATAAGATCATTTCCCATGATTTTGTGATTTTGTTTAAAAAAAATAAAAATAAAAGAATTCCTTTGGAATGTCATTTCCTTTTCTGTTAGATTTAGACAGTAAAACTGCCAAATAATTTCAGATTTTGGTTAAAAAGTAATGAAAGCAAAAGACTAAAAGTCAGAGATGAATTCTATCAAAAATCAAATAAAAACAAGACAATGACTTAAACTAATCAAAGATTTACTAACTGGGATGCCAAAAAAAACCCAAACTAATGGATGATTGAAAATTGAAAATGTTACTAAATTTCATGCACCTGATGTAGATTTCGTTACACTTTATATTTTTTTCCTTTGGAATCAGTTGTAGAGAAAAAAAAAAAAAAAAATCGACATCAATTTGCTGACTACAGTTTTGGTTCTCTTTCAAATATTTGCTTGCCAAATGATTTTTCTCAAAATTTAAACCATTTTTAAGTTTTTTTACCGATTCTTTACGACACTGTGAACTGAAGTCAAGCCATTTAGATTCTTGTCTGAAAAGATTTAGCATTAATTAAAGATTCTTTGACTCAATTAATTTTAATAACTAATTTTTTTAGTTGATATACGCATTTTGGCTTTCCTAGTGTTGTCTTTGAACAAATGAAGTGTGTTACCATTTTTATACCATATTTAGACGCCTATCTTCATCTATTTATCCAAAATTAGAGTTGAAGAATGTCAAATTTTTCTTGCTTAAAAGAAAATAAAAAGAATGAGTGATTTTGTTCAAAATCTCAAGATTATCACAAGTGACAACCACCTGATAGAAGATGGACAAGTTCAATTTAGTAGTGTACTTCACTCTAAATGAAAAATGATTCCTTTCTTACAAAATTAAAATTAGTTGAAGGCTCTCTAGTAGTAAAATACCCGATTAAAAATCCTAAATGAACTAGCCTAGGAGATAAATGGATATTGCTTCTCTTGTTGAGTGTTTTACTTGTAAACACTCGTTTGTAAAGAATAAATTTAATGTCTTTTCCAATAAATCAAAATTTGAAGTACCGGTCAGGTCCGAAGACAAACTGACTTTGTTATAACTTAAGTAACAACAACAACAAAAGAAAAAGGCTTAAAGTATGATAGTAAGTCTCTAGAGTTGATCCATTGAAGTCCACTTCATGAAGATTCACGATTATTGGCTCATAGTACATAGAAAGTAAATCAGAAATCGATTTAAGTAAAAAAGAAAATTTTAAAACAGAAAATATTGTCTTTAAAACCATAATTCTTATCTTATGTGTAGTAAAATTATAAAGTTTTTTTTTTTTAAACAACTTTTATAAAACTTAAGGAAAATTCACCAGGTATTTTTTTCAGTTCATTCAATTTTGCTTAAAAAAACTAATTCTTGTGAGAAAGACATAATTAAAAGAAAAAATTATGGAAGGTTAATTTCCAAACAAGTTATCGAACTAGGTGTCAAAAATCCTTAAATTTAATGATTTTTTTTAATTCCGTGAAAAAGTTGTTTGAATGAATATTTCAAAAACCAAAATATTTCCCCTTTTCAAATAAATGAGAATAAACGGTGAAAAGTTTAGAAAATCTTTAGTCAACAAGTATCTTTCATTTGAAAAAATATCTTCATAGTTTATTCGTCTATTAACCTTACCGTATCTTTTTGTCGCACGAATTGTCTATTCTTTTTTATCTTACGATCAAATTTCGCTTTCAAAATGCTCATAGAATCGACATGACCACCTTGGGACATGTATTCTGCAAGCACTTTTTTCCGGAGCTTCTTCTCAGACATGGTTTTCTCTTTGGCTTTTTGGAGCAAAGACAATATAATCTGTTCCCAATTGAAATTCTTGGATTTTTTCTTTTTTGGTGGTGAATCCTTTTCTTCGTCGTCTTCTTGGGTTTCTTCAAAACACGCATGATTCGGATTGGCTTCTAAAGGCGGCAAGTCATCATCATCATCATCATTCTCAGCATGTCTTCTCTTTTTATCAGATTTCTTTTTTGGTTTAATTTTTTCTCCATTCTTTTCCCCTAAGACGATGTTATTTTTGTCTTCGTCCTCAGAAGAAGAATCATTTCGTTTTCGTTTCTTTTTAGCCGGAAGACGACCACCAATTTCTTCGTTTTTCTCATCATTGTCAACCTTTTCAGAAGCGTGATTCTGTTTTTTGTCTTTTTTTTCACCTTTACTTTGTTCTTTTCGACGTTCTTCTTTCTTTTCTCTTTTGCTCATTTTCTTCACTTTTTTTGCTGAATCCTCCTCCTCCTCCTCCTCTTCCTCCTCCTCCTCAGTTTTATTTTTCTCAAACTTGTCTTTTTCACCATTTGTTTCGTTTTTATCATTTTCCTTCTCGTTCACCTTGTCTTTTTGCTGTGTGACCGGCATAAGAATATCCCAAACCGAATTAGCTAATTTGGTGTCCGATATTCTCATACTGTTTTTGATAAAATTCAAAAACTTAGCCTGTTTTCTTGGTATATTTGGATAGTCTTTCAACCGTTCCAGTAAATGTCGTACCTTTGGCGTGGATGAGCTGCTATCTATCGCCTTTTGTACTTGTTGAAGCCAAGCATCTTGTTTTAGTTCTCCTTTGTTCTGTCCGGGTCGGGGTTTGTAGTCCTTGCCCGAATATTTTTCTTCCTCACTGATACACTTGATGTGTTGTTGGTAATCATCATTCCAGAATTCGTGGCTGCAGTCCATACATGACACCATGTCCATTCGACATTTGGAGTAATGTTTTTGAACTTGATTTTTTTTCAAAGAATCGCCACATACTGAACAACAGAAAAACACCATGCTGGATTCAGAAAACTTCCCTTAACTTTAAGAAAATCTTTCAGAATTATCAAAATACTTCTCAATATAAAGTTTTAAAAAGTAAAATATATTGTAAATGAAAAAAGAAAAATGTATATAAGCAGGAACGAATAATTAAGCAGAACTGTTTTTTTTTTGGAGGGGAGTTTGAACAGCAAAACTAACACGTGAAAAAGCGAGTTTTCTTAAGCGGTGTTTCCTGAAAATTTGTTCTTTCTAAATATTTCTCCGCTTAACATTTCCTCTACGGAGCTGTGTCGATGAAAAAAAAATCTAATCACAAAGTTTTTCACGTAGGAAACAACATTTTTGAATTTGGTGCCATTCATTGATCATTAGTATAAAAGTAAAACTAATATCGTAAATAAAATGTAAATTATTTATTTATTTATTTTTTTTCGGATGTTTTTTTTTTTTTTAAGTCTCATGGTGCGATCACAAAACAAACTGTGATTTTATTTTCTCCATAGACAAAATAAAATTATGCAAAAACTAAGAAAGAACTTGAGCTTCCAAAATATTTTTTTTGTAATCTAAAAAATTTCAGGCAGGGTGATGATAATTTTTAATCTCGTATCTACACTTTTTAATTCACGAAATTTAAATGTTTTCTCAAGAATAAATACGTTTAAATGAGTAAAAGATTAGCAATATATTTTCACTATTTTCTTTTGTAAGTTTATTCAAAGTATTAAGTGGGAAATAAATTTTGTTCGAAAGTAAATGTTTTATTTTTCTTCTAATCAAACCGGTGTACATAAAAATAGTTCTCCATATTTTGGCTTTTTATCCACATGTGTTTTTTTTAGTGTCAATTGATATAAAAGAAGTAAGTTTCTTTTTCGCCACTCATTTTATGAACGTTTTTTTTAAAAAAGATTTAGATTGCGATGTTTGAGAAAACTGGGAAATTATTATTCGTCAAGAAGTATTTCTACAGATCTGTCAACTTTCCCAGTTTTGAGCTCCTTATTCTGATCTCCCTGTTCGTAATTAGTGTCCAATCCGGTCTCCCTGGATATTTTTCGAGTTTTTTTAGAAGTCTCTCCCTGTAAATAAATTGCTGAGATTTCTCCACGTAGCTGCTGAGTAAAAATACTTCCTATTCAGTTCGCATGTGTTTTGAAAACAATTTTGCGGTTATTGTGGTGAAAACTGAAAACATCTTCCGATATAACATTAATGATTATGTTCGGACCGGGGTTTGTTTTTACTTTTTACAAACAAGTGAAACAATGGTTTGGAATGAGTTAATGTTGGTCCAAAATCATGCTTCATTTAACATTTCTGGGATTGTTTTTGAAATTTTCACTCTGTTCTTAAGGTAATCCTAATTTATTAGAGATCTAAATTTTTAGGTTGAAAAATCTGACTAAAAAAAAAACAAACCCTCTCATAACCAGTTTTTATGCTGGAAATAAAAAACAAAAACATTTTTAAGTCATTATTAAAAAGAGAACAGATTTTTTGTCAGTTTTCTCTACTCAACAAAATTGTTAATAAAAAAACTAAAAGTTAGCAGACACTCCTCCTTCAGATGGAAGATTCAAACAAATACAAAAAATTTTATGTTATCTTTTGTTTGTTCAATTTCATATCGATAAGCAGAAGCTTAAATGCCACAAGTGAAAGCCTCTAGGTAAAGATAAAACTAAAAACTTCCTATATTAGTTAAAATGTGTTGTTTTTTTTTTGTTTTTTTTTCTTACATACCATTACTGAGTACTCTGTGGCGAGGCATATGTCAGTGTTCATATCTGCACAGTGCCCGGATATTTGACAAGGTAGGAAAATTCGATAACTATGAAGAAAAGAAGATACAAGAACTTAACTCTAACTTAGATAAAAATCAAATCAAATCGATTTTATTTGCTTGTTGAAAACAATATAGTACTTAAATAAATACTTATTTAAAATATATTTATTTAAAAATTGGCGGGGGTAGCTCCCTCCCTCATGAAGAAAGTATGGCCCTAGTATTGTTGCAGTGGGGTTTTATTTGGACTGGTACCCATGATTTTTTTAGTTACTTATTTAAACGTATGGGGGGCGTGGCCGACCCCCTTCAGAAAGTACTGCCCTGGTATTAGTGGGGTTTTATCTAGAATCCCCATAGTTAATAATAATTAAAAAAAAAAAATATTGGGGAAGGAGGCCTAGCTCCCTAAGCCCCACTTCTGCAAGTACAGCCCTGGTATTGTTGTAGTAGTGTTTTATCTGGATCTCACGATTTTCAGTTATTTAAAAATATGAGGGAGAGGGGGCATAGCCTCCAAATTCCCACTCCAGAACAGCCTGAAAATCAATTTTCAATTGACTTTTATTTCATAGTTACCGAAATTTTCTACCTTGTCAAAATTATAGAGATTTACATTACCAAATTTTCCTAAATTCATCAGCACATGTCTTTCACTTCACACCTTTTTCTTTCATGTAAAAAATTCCAAAGTTTTAAAACTATTTCTTGATTTTTTGACCAGTGGGAGAACCATGTGAACCAGTTGATGACATTTGTAAGTGGAGCCATTCAGCACGGGAGCTGACCTCTGAAGAAATTGCCAAATTGAAAAAGGATGTCAATCTTGTGACAGAATTCAAAAGGAACAAATTTGAGAAGGATGCCCAAAAGAATTGGGACCTTTTTTATAAACGCAACACAACAAAGTTTTTCAAAGACAGACATTGGACCACAAGAGAATTCCATGATTTACTCAATGAGAAAGAGCCACAAGTAAAAAACAATAATTGTTTATTATTTTTGTTTGTTTTTAATAAATTAGTTTTTGAAGGAAATGTAGAAAAGTATTTGATTCAAGTGGTAAATATGATGATAAAAAGAAAATATTTTCTCAGTGTAAATGACCATCGCTACATAAATACAAATTTACTTACTAGAGCTTTATTGATAGTATTGTCTTGGAACAAAACTTTGTAGTATTTTCCACTAGGTAGTATTTGAAGACATGGTTTTCTTTATATATTTATATATATGTATTTCACTTCACTTTAAACATTATTTTTAATGGATACTTGTATTTGAGCAGGTGCTCTGTTTATTTATTAAACAGTATATTTATTTATATTTAGCCACTGGTCTAAATGTTTGAGAAATTTTCTTAAAATTTATGGCCTCTGTCAGGATTCAGATCTGCATCTCTCAGGGCAGAGAATGAGCTACTGTTAAGCCTGGTGCACTTTAACCAACTTAGACATGAAGAGCAGTTGGTCAGGTGAGGCAAATTTTTCTTTAATAAGATTTCTTGAATATTCAGGCCGGTAAATGAAAATAAATAAATATACTGCTTAATAAATAAATGGAGTGCCTAAATATGAGTGCCCACTAAAAATTTGAAGTGATAAATCTGTTGGATTAATAAAAATTTGTCATATTAATGAAAAAATCAATTCTAATATATATATATATATATATATATATATATATATATATATATATATGTATGTATGAAGAAAAATATATGGAAAAACAAAAATGCGAATATGCAAGTATGCTGTTTTAATGTTGTTTCAATGTCGACATCAGACGTTTCAGTCTAGTAGACCTTCTTCAGGACATAGTTATTAAAACATAATTAAAATTAGACGATATTCAAGTCAACATGAAAAGACGATAGACATAAGACTAATCAAAACAGAATAACTGAAATTTTTTAAGATCAGTGTTCCATTTCGCAATATGATCACGTCGGTGTCACGTGGGTGATGTTGTGAAAACGTATTCCTAAAATAGAGTATATTTTAAATGAAAAATAAAAAAGAATTTTATTTTAATCTAAAATTTATAAGTATGTTTGTCCAGCATTAATCTTGCTAGAAAAGGGAAAATATTAAAGAAGCCGGGTCTAGTATTGTGAGATAGATATTATGCCTGCCTCATAAATCTGTCTAAGATTTTTATTATGAATATATTTTAAAATCTTCACAGAATCAAAATTGAAATTATGATCAGATTTAGTTATGTGTACAAATAAAGCATTGTTTAAATTACCGAGGTGAATATCTCGTTTATGTTCGAAAACACGAGATTTTACGGACCTACATGTTTCACCCGATGTGAAACGGAACGCTGATCTTAAAAATTCACATAAGTCACATAACAGGGGTCATCACAGGGGTACCTCACATCTCTCATCTGAGCATTGTAGGGTATTTGAAAAGACTTGGATATGCAAATTTGTTTTGATAATTGGGGGCTTCATGATTAAATGGAAAAAAGAATTTAGTAGACTGAATTTCCACCTCTGATTTTCTACTTAAATGCAACAAAAATAACCCGTTTTTGAAAAGAATAAATCACAAGCAATGAAAAATAGATTATTTACAACAATGTGCAGCAAAAAATATTCTATGAAAAACAAAATGAGCCACCAACAGCTGGTCTGGGTCTGAAGAAGGTGACACTGTGTATACGGTGGGATTAGAAGGTCATTCCCCCAAATCAGATGACATTGAATTCAAACATGTACTGTTCCCAATTGGATTAAAGATGAAAGATTAAAGGCAGCAATCGGTGAAATTCAGTGTGTCTGGAATTGGCCAATCGAAAGAGTGTCATCTTCTATCAGGGCAATGCGACTCCACATGTCTCTTTGCACCCCTGTTAGAAATTGGTACAGCTTGACACTGATGTCCTACTACACAGATTCATATCCTGTTGGGGAGTGTATATTTTTCTTTAATAAAATTTCTTAAATATTCAGGCTGGTAGATAAAAATAAATAAACTAATATGGATTGCTACTATGAAAATAAATAAACAAATATGGATTGCTACTAAAACTAACATCTACTACCTTGGAAAACCAAGGCAGTAGATGTTAGTTTAAGTAGCAACTAATGCTCAGCAAAATATAGTTAACTCTAGTAATTTATGCAACTGTAGAAATAAAAATAGATGTCCATTACATGGAGCTTGTAAAACTGAGGCAATAATCTATAAAGCAGAAATAATAGATACTAATGGCCAGAATTGGGCACCTCGGCATGGTGTAATGGTTAGCAAGCTTGTCTTGCCAGATCAGTTACTGCTGAAAAGTGAGTTCGATCCTCACTGGATGCCCCATGCTTTCAGCCTTGTGCCACATCTAAGCTACGCTTGGAAAATCTTTACTAATGGCCAGAATAAAATGTACATAGGTACTTTCAAACATAGATGGTACAATCATAGGTTGTCATTCAAGCTAGTAAGTCTTAGCTGCTCTACCAAACTTGCTGACCATGCGTGGAACTTAAAAGAAAAAACAGCAGGTATCTGATTGTAAGCTGAAAATTCTTTTAAAAAGGCAAAGCCTTACAACAATCATGACAATATTTGCAACTTTTGCCAACAGGAAAAATTAGCAGTTATAACATTTCCAGAGCCAAAGAACCTTTTGAAACAGAAATCTGAAGTCTTGAGTCCTTATTGTGTATTAGGAAATTCCTTTTAAGCACATATGAAGCTGGATTAAAAATAAAGTACATTTCAATTACCCCCTCCCCACACCACCACTGCTACACTTATAATACCCTTAGTTTTTTTCTCTTTCTCCTTCTTCTTTCTTCACATCCTTCTCCTCCCTTTCTATTATACCCAACATTGTGTGTTTGTTTATTTATCAAAAAATAATATAGTGTTCATTAGTTTTTTTAAAAAAATAAAGCATTAAGAGGTCATTTGATAAAAATCACCTGAGGATACTGTAAGGTTGAATCCAAGGTAAGCCGATTCAACTGACTTGATTTTTAAAGTTAAAAAGCTTTACACGTTATTTTTTACTTTTCTTTTATTTTATCACACATCTATTGAACAATTTTAATACTACTGATTCCTGGTCTGATTCAATTCTGACCATGAACCTTTTATGTATTATATATATATATATATATATATAGAGAGAGAGAGAGAGAGAGAAAGAGAAATTGCAAATTGCATTCATCTATCATACTATCATTGAGGATCTCAACAAAATAATTTTTTAAAACAAGTATTTAATTAGATAACTATTACTAAGCTTATAAATAAAGTGGATTTATGTTATTTTAGATTTGGTTCAAATTCCTACAGGCAACACCAAAAAAATAAATTCCTATACTTGACAGCAAAAAATAAAAAAAAAAATTGAAAGGAATATTTTAAAATGAAACTAAAGTGATTTTGGCTCTAATACAATGTTTTTCAAAGCCTAACTGAATATAGAAAATGGAATTAGAATAGTGTATTTTGTTATGGGGGGAAGGGGGTTCAGGTTATATAAGTAAAGTCTGCTATGTTGGTGTTGGGGGGGGCGGCGGCTAATTGGTTTTTAATTTAATAGATGTTAATGCATGGGTAGAAGAAATTTTAAAAAATATAATAAAATTAATCATTTTGCAAAACAATCATTGGTTTAGAAATTTTACATTTTTCTCAATTTATACCAAACTCTTTGATTTTTTTTTTATGTCAATGATCCATTGTGATAAATAATAAAAACTTTTTTAAACTTCATATTTTTCAGAATATACAAAAGAAAGTTTTTGAAGTTGGATGTGGAGTTGGCAACTTTTTATTTCCTTTAATTGAAGAAACAAATTTATTTTTCTATGCTTGCGATTTTTCCAAACGAGCTGTAGATTTTGTGAAGGTAAAAATTGACTCTTTCTGTTTTTTAGTGTTGTACAAATGGCAGCAGCACACACACACACATACACACACAAATATATATATATATATAGGCATTTGTCAATTCTATCATTACTGTGGTCACATAACATTCTGGTTGTCTTCCATTTATGGCTCCCAGTGAAGATGTATTTTCAAACACCTGATGCATCCTGTAATACATGATGCCTGCTTTCTCATTATCAAGCATAGCCATGATTTATAAACCTGGCCAATAATTTGCATTGTTTACCACAGAGATTTGGCAGTCATGACCAATCACAATATTAGGTACACTTTCTGGCATTTGATTGCCATGATTCTTCAGTATCTTTAATAATGTTGTGATTCATCATAATAGTCATAACTTTTAAGTCTATGGCCATATGAACCACTCAGTAAGATCCAGTAAGGTCTGTGCATTAAAGTGAAGAAAGACAATGCGATCCTAGGGGGTCAATCCCACTCCCTAAGTAGCACAAGCAATGATCTGAAAAGAATGGAATATTAGCATCATTAGTTGCTAGTGTGATACAGGTGTTACATCAGAGTTTTCCGTCTCCTAGGGGAGATGTCATTACAAAGACTAAGGGGTCTCTCTCTGTCTCTCTCTCTCTCTCTCGCAATGGTTATTATTGATGAGTGACCTTCATCCACTGGGTTCACTATTTGCCCATAAGAAGTGTTACCCCACCCCGGTTCAAGGTGGGCTTAGGAATAACAGTAATTAAGAGGAGGTTCCACACTCCTCAAAACCTCCAATACAAAGGCCTTGCTGGTGAATGGCATTTGTCATAACCATACATTCATACATACACACAAACATATATATATATATATATATATATATATATATATATATATATATTTGGTTGGATTGATGTGAGTTTGTGACCCTGGGTTTCACGCTTTTGCGATCGTCAGGTAAACTGATTAATTTTTTTAAAATTTGGGTTTATGTAGATTGCATGTATTGGTGTTATTATGGGAGTGGGGGGAATCGTCGTCGTGATGTCATTGTGCTAATGCAAACATAGATGCATGTCCATACATCAGATGAGGTACGCAGACACACATACACACTAGCTTGTCCTTAGGGACTCATACATATAAACATATGTGGACAGTTTCGGATTTGACATATGTATGTATATGGGTGGTGTTGTGGCTATACATACGCATTTGTATGTTGAAATTCAAAGATTGGAAGTGTAGCGAAAATTTCTTGTGAATGTCTCGTGAATGTATACATGCCAAAAATCAGAGCATTTATCTTTTTTTTCACTGAATAAAATTTACTCGCATGTATGTATATGATAGGTAAAAATTATTATTATTTTTATTTTTAATTTTTAAAAAAAGGGTTTATTTGTTATTATTTTAAAGCTGGTTATTTGCTTGTTTTTGAGAACTGTGTATGTGTAACTGGTAGAAATTTCGGTTTGTAATCCTTATTGGTTATTTTATTTGGTGGTATTTAAAATGCTGGGGGAGGGGGTAGTTTACGTTAATTATTGTGGGTCTATATGATAATAGTAGATGTGATGTGGTAGTAATGTTGTAAGGGATTGGAGACAATGATAATATAAGTAGCTAATAGTTATTGTAAATTGGTAGAAGTGATTAGTAATGGTGGTGGGAGAATGATAAAAACAATAAATGTAATTATTGTGGTGGTAGCTTGAACTAAAAAGTGATTGTTGGTGTTTTATTTTATTTTGTTATATATATTAATTTATTTTGGTATAAATCCTGATAATAGGTATTCTGTGTAAAATTATGATAATAGGTATTCTGTGTAAAATTATGGTAGTTGAAAATTGCTATAATTCTTTATTTTTTATTTAAAAAAAAAAAAATTATTTTTTATATATATATATATATATATATATATATATTTTTATATATATATATATATATATATATATATATTATATTCTGAAAGAAAAGGATGATTTTCTTAAAATTATTAATCCAATGTTATTTTTAGTAGATACTTGTATTTGAGTAGACACTCCATTTATTTATTAAACAGTATATTTATTTATTTTTGTCTACCAGCCTGAATATTCAAGAAATCTTATTAGAGAAAAATATGCATTCTCCAGCACTGGGAAACCATCATATGGAACCTCTCTAATAAGATTTTTTGAATATTCAGCCTGATAGATGAAAATAAATAAATATACTGTTTAATAAATAAATGAGGTGTCTACACAAATATTAGTATCCACTAAAATGACATTTAAGTAATGAAATGTATATATATATATATATATATATATATATATATATATATATATATATATATATATTGTGCATTTAGGCAGCAATCCTTCTTTTATACAAGATTCATTGAAGACAACTGACAAGGCACTGCAATTAATTTTTTCTTGCATTAGTAAAAGGAATTTCTTTTCTGGACATAGAGTATATAAAACTGTTTAAATGATATGTGTATCTGAGTGTTCCAGATTTTTTAAAATTAAATTTAAATATATGTGCAAATAAAGACAAAAGTAAATCTTAGCCGACTCGTTTCATTCTCTGTGGGACTTTACCAAGACAAATGCAATGATTTTATTTTGTAACAAGTATTTATATACAGAGCAAAAATGTTATTGTTTTTTTTTCAGATTTTTTTTAGTTTTGGAGCACTCCTAAATATTCATTAGGTTAGCTGAAATGTCAGGCAAGCTATGGCACACACGAAAAGATACATTTCAATGTCTAATAAATAAAAGTGAATAAGTGATGCTTTAGAAGGTTTTTTGTGCAAATTTTATGCTGTTAAAAACATCCCCATCCCTATATATATTTATATTTACATATATCATTTATATTTACATATATATGTATTTATATAATTAAAAAAGAGATCTACATATTCAGTTAAACAAAAAAGCTTTCTAATAGTAAATAGATTTTAGTACTTGGATCCACAGATGATTTGGACAATTTTTGCACACTCTTTGTCCAGAAAAGAAATCACTTGTATGAATGCAAAAAGAAATTTGCTAATTGCACTACTTTGTCAGTCATCTTCAATGCCTTGATACACTCTATCTGAAAATAATTTACACACATATATATATGAACTATTTTAGATGTGATTTTTAGAAAAGAAATTGTAAATTAAAATTAATATTTAAAAAGAACAAAAATGGCCAAAAATCTCTGTAGTTCATTAAAATTGTTTTTTGTTTTGTCAACAGGAGAATGAGAAATATGATGATTCTAGATGCAAAGTTTTTGTTTGTGATATCACTCAAGATGACCCAACAGAAAATATTCCTTCCCACTCAGTGGACATTGTCACTCTTATCTTTGTCTTGTCAGCTATCCATCCAGACAAAATGCTAATAGCATTGAAAAATCTTAAAAAGGTATATAATTAAAATCTTTATCATGTTTGCTCTTGTTTTGTTTTTCTGTTGTTATGTTTTGTTTGTATGATATTTGGGATTGCTATTACTGGCTGCATTATTTAGCATTTATGACAAAAGTTGAATAGTTAAACTTTATTTCAACTGGTATGTTAGTGCAAAAAGAAGACTGTCATCAAAGTGTATCAGAAATTGTAATATTCAGTTATTAATTTTTGGCATATTTCTTTCATTTTAATTACATTTGCTTTTAATCCCAATTCCCAGCTCATTATTCAATGACCATTAACAAATTGAAGATGAATAATAAGTCACAAATTCACATGCTAGAAAAGAGAAAGAGTCAGTCTTTCCATGGCAGCTGCATTACTGATTAGCTTATTAAGGCCAACTGGTTAATTCAAATCGTTTGGCGTTTATTTTCCTTGTATCTCTGATTTACTAACAATTTTCATTTATTAATGTTATTATTAAAACTTCTTAGATGAAAGAAATTTTTGACTGGTATTCTTTTAATTATAATTAAAATGGAAAAAAATATTAAGAAATTAAAATGTAATAAATATTAGGAAAAACTGAATAGCAATGGTGTATCTAAGAAATTCCAACTTATTACCAGGTGTAATACAAACAAAAAACGTGCAATATGACGATATGATTTGATAACTCGATTTAAGATGACTTAATTCAAGGGCAATAACTTATTGCGACGTAATTTGAAAAGTTATCTGCCTTGGACTTGTTTCGTTCTGATAGCAACAATAACAATAATATCCATCAAAAAATTAAAAAAATCTTTATTTTTCTTCAAATAGTTTCAAGGCTGAAGTATTATTATTATTAACTAAGGAAGCCTAACTATACCTCACGTTATCCACAGGTTCTGTTGTATTTCTGTTATTTGCAACTCTGCCAGATTTTATACGTTTTATTCTTGTATGTGCTATCAATTCAGGACATGGCCAGTCAGGGTTCTTTGCAATAAATTTCACTTTTCTAATCCAGACAAAGTTTGACTTGTCTTGCCAAAATTGAATTGTTGATGAATCCTTTCTTTTTTTATCTTATACAAACACACAAAGAAAAAAAAACTTATAGAAAATAGAATCTTTGAGGGACAACTTCTCACACTCTTCTCACAACCTCCACCTGTACAGTTCAGGCTACCAAGGAAAAGTCTCCTATCTATAATACCAGTGCATTGGATGCATTGTAATATTTATATACATTTTATTTTTTTATAGGCCCGAAAATATAAAAATAAAAAAAGAATTCTTAATTATATACATACATACATGGTGAAAAAGTCTTGGCCTGATATTCTCCACTAAAATCAGATTTTGGGAAGTTACTTGGGCTGATGTGTGTGTGTGTGTGTATATATATATATATATATATATATATATATATATATATATATATATAGATACACCTAGTGAGCCAGACAAACCTACCTAGGTTTCACCTAAACGGATCGTCAGGGAAACTTTCTCTGACGATCCGTTTAGGTGAAACCTAGGTAGGTTTGTCTGGCTCACTAGGTGTATCTAAGTCTGCTCTACGGTTGTATTGAGCCCTTTTTGTTAGTTAGTTGTTACCGATCGGGGTTTTTCTTTGGGCTTCAGACCTGCATCTGTGCAATTTTTTGTCGGCAGAAGTTCATGTTTGTAGCTCTTTCTTTTTTTAAAATCTTTTTTTCCCTCGAGATTGATTTGATTAGCAAATCAAAAATTCAAGGGTTTTTCGAAACGAGTCTAGTTATCTATATTTATATGTATATATATATGTGTGTGTGTGTGTGTGTGTGTGTGTGTGTGTGTGTGTGTATCGTGACTATCAGTTGCATGACTTAAGTGATCATCAATTCCCCTTGAGCTGAAACAACCCCAAAGCATGATCAAGCCGCCTCCATCTTTTAATGTTGTGATTGTGTTCTTTGGGTGGAAAGCCGCTCCTTTCTTGCTCTAAATCTTGTGTTCATCATTATGTCCAAAAAGATCAATTTTTGTTTCATCACTCCGTAGTACTTGTTCCCAAAAGTAATTTTCTTTGTCCAAGAACGTTTTGGCAAAATTAAATCGAGCAACAATGTGACATGGTTTGTAAAGGGGGGTTCATCAAAGTCAGTTTCCATACAACCCATTTCTATATAAACAACATTGTATTGTGTGAATACTTACACTGATACCCATCGTATCCAAACTTTTGTTGATGCCTTTCAAAACAACTCTTGGGTTTATATTAACCTCACAACACAGTTTTCATGCAGTTCTTGGTAACAATTTGGATATTCTTCCACACCCAGGTAAATTCTCTGTCGTGCCAAACTGTTTAAACTTCTTTATAACAGACTGTATCATAGATCTAGGGATAGCTAACTGGTTTGAAATAGTACTGTAACTATTTCCTGACTTGTGGAAGTTAATAATTCTCTGTCTCAAGTCAACACTAAGGTCCTTTGTCTTCCCTATTGTGTTGTTAACATAAGAATAACAATGGTGACACTCTATGCATCATGTAATCTCCTTTGCTGGAATCATCACAGATATTCTACTGAATAAATAGTCTGGAAGGCTTCACTGATAAAATAATTATGTAAATTGCTTATACTAACATGACTCAATTAATTTAAAACAATATTTTCTACTGTACAAATAATTTTGTCTTTTTCTATTTTGCATAATTCACCTGTAAAATTTGTATTGTTCTACTTTTCTGAAAATTAAGTTTTATATTCCTTTTTTTTGTGCTTATTAACATACAAAAAAATTGGCATCATATGGTCATTAGGTTTTGAGAAATGTATAAAAATAGTCAAAATTGATGGATGTAGGAATAATTTTGTCATTGACTATATATATATATATATATATATATATATATATATATATATGCAACAAGAATTCATACAAATGTGTTTTGTTAAGTTTAAACAAAGTCCGTCTGCCTTAGGATTTTAACATATATTTCTAATTTTCAAATAAATTGTTCAAATTTAATTTTTTTGTCTTTGACAATTTAACCACAATTTAGATTTGCATGTGAAACAACTAAAAATCTGTCTGTCATCAAGAGAATGTTGTAAAGTTCTTGGCTTAATTCACTTTCAAAAATCTCTCGAAACATGAAATATATTTTTTTTAGTAAATTATTTATATTTGTAACATTTATCATTTTTCTCCATCTAATTTGATTCAGGTGTTAAAAGCCGATGGTTGTTTGTTAATTCGAGATTATGGTCTTTATGACTATGCCATGTTACGCTTTGCCCCTGGACACAAACTTGCAGATCATTTTTATGTACGTCAAGATGGAACAAGAGCTTACTATTTCTCAACGGGTAAAAATTATTGCTTTTATTATCAGTTTGTTTCTTTTCTTGTTAAATTCTCCGATGAATTCTAAACAAAGTGCATATAATGTTTTACCATTTATCAATTGATAGAGTGGGAAATGTGTTTTGATTGACAGAAACAGAAGCATTTTGCCGTGTTTTGAAATTGTTTAACAAAGTATAATTTATGCAGAAATTTATCCAAACTCTTTATTGTTCTACTCACAACATTTTCACCATTGTTTTTGGTGACTGTCACATTTGGTAATTTCAAAATTTCAAACCAAAGCTTTTCTTCAATCTGCCGAGTTCAACTGTTTATGACAGATGACAGGGGAGATAACTTGTATTTGTTTATTCTTTGTTAATTTTACTTTGTGAACCAGAGTGTATAAATTTCACTGCCTGACTCAAGGATTGAACTCACATCCACCAGATAAACAAATAACTAACGCTTATATCTCCAATCCAATAGCAAATCAGGTGGAGTCTTAATGTTTGTTCTTTCATAATCAAAGGATCTCAAGGGTGTTCATGTTTGCTAAGATGGCTGAAGAGGAAAACCGTGGTGTATTAGTCTCATTGTGTTTTCTATTTTTCTATTATTCTGACTTAATTCCATAAAGTTTTGTGACATTTCTCTCTACACGTGGTCTTCCATACTTGATTTCATAGTCTCTTAATCGACTTTGTAAGGTTCTTCCAGTCTTAACTTTGGATGGTGATTGATTTTGTCTTAAATAAATTCAGTGTCTGATCATGCTAAATGCTCATTGCAGAGAGAAAGCATAAATTCTCTTGTATTTTTTCAAAGCAAAGATTTTTTACTTTCCAAAAACAGAATGGATCAAATTCTACAAGACGATTGATCAAAGTAAACAAACTTCAATGTAGATTCAGCTCATTTTGTCAAAAGTTAATAAAAAGATTTCTGTTTTGAATATTATTTCAATTTATTCAAGATGTGTAGATACCTGGCTATACTTGCAATCATGTGGTTGAGATTTGTTGTCATTTTTTATCATGCCTTATTGCCAGAACTTATCCAAAAGGAATACTGGCACTATACAATCTTCTTTGCTTTAATCAATGTGGTACAATTTTATGAAACAAGGAAAATAACTATAGAATTATCTGATGTGTAAAAATTGGAAATTTTAAAGTTGGAACACAACAGTCTTCTGGTGGGTGTTTACTAAGCAGAGTATGGTACAAGCAAATGGAGAGAGTGAAAAGGGAAACTAGGAAGATTGTGTTGCACCAATTTTCTAAATATGCAGAGCTTATCAATCTTGAAAATTAGTATTTAAAACCTTGGTTTCTTCCTGAGTTTGAACCTGAACTCTGGCACATCATATGGTTGAAGAAAAGCAGGAAGGTTGTGTTATGCCCCAAACATTCAAGCAGGCAAAGACTGTCTGCCTAAAAAAAAAATCAGCTTTCAGGTTCCTGGATTAAATACTGATCACTGGTACCAATGTGGAAATATCCAACTATCTCTGCAAAAATATGTTTCAGCTTTACATACCCACCCACTAAATATTGATAAAAGCTGTAAAAAGCATACCAGTCAATCAATCAAGAATTTTCTCCATTGAAATATTTATGTCAACACCTACACACAAATACTCTTGGAAAATGTAGGAATACATCTTATCTCCCCCAGCTATGAGTTAAATAGTAGGAATTGTATCTGGAATAATCTCAAAATATTCTTAATTCAATGTCCACTCTCCCCACAAACATTTTTACAATCCAAAATATGTTTCAGTTTTAAATAACCCACAGTCAACTTTGATCTTCAAAAATGTAATGTTAGTCTTTATCTTCTATCTTCATAATTCCTGTTCTTTTATTGTTCTCCCTCTCCTTAAAAATGTTCTCTTTCTTCATATTATCCTACACTCAGTAACCCCTTGTAACTTAGTGGCTTTATTACCTTGCTTGGTTGAAATGATTAAAAAAAATTAAATTATGTCCAGATGAGAAAGGCAGGGCTTAATTTAAAAACATGGACAGTTAAAAAAAAGTATTAGAAGCAAAATTTAATTTTTCTTTTGGAAATTTCCAATAAGTCTCTGTATAAGATTATCTGAAAAAATACATCACCTGTATGTTTGTAGGGAGGGGATGGGGTAGTGTTAAAGAAAGAAAAAAAATTTTGTTCAGTTTCTTTTATATTTCCTTTTTTTTTTTTTTTTCCCTCAGAATTCCTGTCAGTTTTGATGCAAAATGCTGGCTTTCAAGTGTGTCATTTGAATTATGTGAAGAGAGACACAATAAATAAAAAGGAAGGAATCTGTGTCCCACGGATTTTTGTTCAGGGAAAATGTTTGGTGAAAAACTCTTGATAGGAATTTATTTTTAGAAATTTTCTCTTTTTGTTCATTAAACGTTTTTATTAAAATCTAGTGTTTGTATTTGATTTTACTCTTGTCTTGTATTTTTTTCTTTATGCTGGAAAAAATTTGTCATTGATTGAAGTTTTATCAGACACAAGGTCATAAGCATAGGAAACCTTGTGAAAATCAAACTTGCTGAAATAGTAATGCTAGTAATTGTAAAAAGTCATTTGGAATTTTACTTTGTTTTTTTTCTTCTTCCTATTATTTGATAATAAATATTAAAAAACTTTATTCTTTAATTATATGACACCTCTTTTTCTGTGCCTATCAGTCTGTCTGAGGCAAACTCTTTGAGCTTGTGGCCTTTACCTTAATCATGGAATTGGAAAACTGAGTTTGAATGCTGGTTGAGATTGCATGTGTTTATTTGACATCATTCTCTTGGGGAAAGCATGCAACCACTTCTCCCTGCACTTTGTTCCATTGCCAGATGTTCTGAAAAACTCTTGCTACTGGCCTGCCACAATGGTTGACAGAAAAAGTAAATGGATGAACATGTAAATGAAGCATTTGCTTCAGCAAATATTTATTACCAAAGTCAGTTAAGGAAAATCTCATTTGATTGTTTACTTTTGATGTCTCTTTTTCTAAGTAGATTAACTGCTGCTTGAAGATTCAATTTAATGAAATGATTGTCAAATATTTAATTTGGGAATGGAGATATTTAGCAAACTCACTGATTAATCTTGTGTGCATTTTATAATATAAAGTAGCTAGCTATTTTGAATCTCTCAGGAACTGTTTGTATGATCTTGATATAACTTGGCAATCAGAGGACACTCTTCAGCAGTGAAATATCATTGACTGAACTTATGTATTCTGCAACTATTGCATTTACAGTGATATATTCTGCAAGGATTTTTTTACAAAACATTGTATAACCATGGGTTTGGTAGAGTCCCCTTACTCCAGGTTTGGCTTTGTTTGAGTTCTGTTTATTTTTTCAGGAGATTTCAGACCATGGATCAGTTTAAGGAGAATGTGACAACGCAGCTGATGCTGATTTCAAAAGAGAACTTTTCAGATTCTTTTGTGATGTAGTAAGAATGCTGGGATAAATATGCCAGATTCAAAGGGTTATTATTTTGAGAGGAACTAAGACTTCATTGCCTTAGGTAGGCTACTTTTTTGTAAATTTTAAATAGCTGGATATTTTTTTAGATAGGCTGTGGAGTTTGAAGCTAGAATCAGACATTTGTGTTACTAAAGAGTGATACTGATGTCTGGTAGGGCAAAAGGTCTGTTTTCTTTATGTAATACAAAATAGTTTATGTACAAATGTCTAAGAGTTGTCTTTAAGATATGTTGAATTTCTGAAAAATGTCCTAGTGACTTCAAGATTTCATTCTTTCAATTGATAACATTAGCCCTTTGACTATGCCACTTCCTCTAGATAGATTTTCATACACAGAAAATGTCTTCTGAAACAAGTCCTCACATTCTTATTTAAGAGCATCTTTGTGTCTTACCTGAAAGTTAAATGATTTTATATGAATGAATAAATATTCTAATAATGTATAGAAAGAAAAATAATTAAGTGTCTAAATTTAAATGATGCTTTATTCAAAATGGCTGTCTTGGTAACACAGGATTTGCACTGTCAAGAGAGAGTTGCATATATTAACTTTTTTTTTTCTTAGGATTAAAACAAACAGAAAACAAATAGTGTTCCTAAAATTCATTGTAAAATACAAAATTTCTCTACACTTGATTGCTAACGTTCAGAGCAGTTATGGTTATTACCGAAAATTTCCTTGTAGCTAAAATCAGAAAGTTCCCTCACAAAAATACATGAGTATACCTTGTTAAGAGCATCTTAATACTCAAAATTAATTAAATATTCTTCCCTCTGATAATATATATATATATATATATATATATATAACAAAGTATTGGTAAAATACAATTTCTGCCAAGTGTTCAAAGAAAATTAAAAATTATAAAACCCAAAGAATCTAGTAACCAAGAGAAAACCTGACAAAAGGAAAAAGAAACTAAGAAAGATGCCTAAAGCGATAATAGTGGCCAATGTCAAAATGACCAACACAGAGCAATTACACTACCCAATGACACCATTCAAAAGTAAGAGACAAAATTCAGTCTTCTGTTACTTGACTTTCATGCTACCATGTTTGTTTTGTTCATGGCAGCATGAAACTCAAGTAGAGGTCTGAACATTTCCTTGGTGTGGTGTAATGGTTAGCAAGCTTGTCTTACTAAAACAGTTATGACTGAATAGTGAGTTCAATCCTCACTGGGCGCCCAATACTTTAGGCCTTGTGCCACATCTAAGCTACGTTTAGAAAATCAATATATAAGTACTATACATATATATTAAATTTGTGTATTTTGTCTCTAACCTTGTGTTGTACTAGAGTTATCTCCCTTGTACTAGGAAAACCAAGTAGGTGTATCTTTTTTCTTATGGCAGAAGAAAAAGACTGACTCCTTAAAAGACTGGAAGAAGGTTGAAAAGACTGACTCCTTAAAAGAAAACAACAATAAAAAAAAAAAAACTGGAATATATAGAATTACATGTGAAATCCAAATCTTAGGATGGATCAAATTATCAATTTCATCATTTTGACAACATTTTTAAGCTCATAAATAAATGTTAACAAATGGATTTCTTGTAATTATGAAATAATAAAAATATCTGTCTTAGCAATCAGATTAGAATTTTAGATCTTTTTTTCTAGTTATTTGACACATTTCAAATAAAAAACCATTTAAACAAACATTTTCTCTTTAAATTTAATTAAAACAGTTATTGCTATTTTGTTTGCTGACAATGGGAAAAGATAAAAAAAGATGTAAACAGAAAGATGGTGGTGCCCCTGTCTTGCAATAAGCGATGACCTGACTGGAATTTAGAAAAAATAATCAGAAATGTTTTTTTTTTTTTTTAGTTTGGAGACAAAGTTGAAATATGCCATTACTTCATACATCAATTAAGAAGTCCTGATATTATTAACAAAATGTAGAGAATATATTGCATTGGTATGTTCAACAAAATTCAAACTTATTTCAAGATGTTCAATATTTGATGCATTTTTAAGAAATATTTGAAATTTTGTGTTTATTCAAATCATTTTCTTTGGTAATCATTTGATATGTGAATGAACTTTTTTTAACATTTGATTGTAAATTTCATAAAATAAAAACTACTTGCGAAGGTCAGATTATATATATATATATATATATATATATATATTAAATGAGAATGAATCAAATATAATTTCCAATGTCCATAACATTAATTTAAAACAGGGCTCAATACAAGTAGAGTTCTATTAGTAAGTACTAAGTTGAGCCCTAAGTTCCTCAAATTAATAAACATTTTCCAAAAACCAACTGTAAAATATTCAATAGGAATACATTAAAACTTAGTTATAGTTGCACTAATAATCTTGAGAAAATCATAAAGTTGCACAACAAGAGAACTCTAAACCAATTCAATAATTTTAATCATAATGCAAGCACAAATGAAAATATTGTTAAGGACAGTGACCAATGCAATTGTAGGAATCCTAATCAATCCCCATTATCTAAAAAATGTTTAACCAAATCCTTTGTGTATCTCTGTTCTATCTCTACAGAAAATCCAAAGGTTCAAAAGTTTTATATTGGTAGTACCAAGAACACATTTAAAATTTGGTGGCATCAGCACATGTCTTCTTTTACTAATAATACTTATAGAAATAATACTTCACTTTCAGAATATTTTTGAAAGATGAAAATAAAACTCCTAAATTTAAATGGAAAATTTTAAAATTGGCAAGAACATGTAGATCGTTATATGAACCTTGTTTTCTGTGTTTACAGGAGAAAATACAGATTATCAGGTTTTTGAATAGGAATGATTTATTGAATCAAAGATTTGAATTAACAGTTAATTGTAAGCATATCTTATCTTTGACACTAAAATCTTGCTAGATTTTGTAATTTGATAATTGCTTCTTCTTATATTTTAGATTAGCCTTGTTGCCTCATATAATGAGTATCTTTTGTTTGTAAGATAAATTTTAACGTAGCATTTTTTGTACATTATTCTTCTAGTACTGCTAATAATATTTAGTATATAGGTATATGCGTTTGGCTGACATACTGACATTTTCCATAGACTGGTTCTATTGACACCTTATATATAACCCTTTAGGTAAAAGCTGCATTTTAATTTGAATGATCTTTATATTTTAATTAATTTTATATGCTCTATATGCTTAAAGTTATGTTTGATCTCGTTATTTCAATAATTTTGTTTGATTTATATATTTTAATAATTTTGTTTATCTTGATTTTCATGTTTTTTTTCATTATTTCATTTATTTCTTAAAGGGCTATATTATTTACCGACTATAAATTGTGAAATTCTAACTTTTAACTCACAAAGTATGCAGTTTGTCAAAAGGAAGTGTCAATTATCTTATGGCTAGAATGTAGCAAACTTAAATGTATTGAATATAATGTCTGTGCTGTCAACAATTTTAAATCTGGAGGTCATGACCTCTTACTTAACGTAGACCATTTTGATTGGTGGATCTGATTATAAACATAACAAATTTGGCTGCTATCTCCTCCTGTTTCTTTCATACTTTTTCTCCCCTTATTCTTCCTTTTCTCTGGAAAAGAGAATGTATCTTGTGTCTTTCTTTCTTACTCTTTTTTTTCATGTGAAAAGTGGTTGTATATGGTTTTAAATTTGAAATTTCAATAGTCTACTAACCAGTCACTTACAAACGCCTGATGCGTTGGTACACATTGAAACATGATTGCATTTATGTAGCGTTGATTTTCATGTTGATGTAATTATCCTACAATATATATATATATATATATATATATATATATATGTATATATATAGAGAGAGAGAGAGAAAGAAGACGATTTTAGAGAAAGAGTTAAGCAAAACATGCATAATTGTAGGAAGTGAGAGAGTTAGTGG